TGAGTTGTCTATCAACTGTATGCCATATGCCGTCTACAAACCTACGCGAAGACAATTGCACAGGCTATTTACAACACAGAACGTCGCTGTATTAATTAGTCAACGACGTTTCATAGATCTTCACAGGAGTCAACTTTTCCGTATAGATTGCTAGATATGCAATCCCGGACTACGATATACGATTATCTACATGCGTGACCATTACGCAGATCTGCAGACAATTCAATATCGAAATTGAACAGCAGCCTTGTTACAGCGAGTATAACTCATAATCGTCAACGTTTTCTGAGAAGAAATATGTACAACAAGTTCAGCTTTAATTCTACAATTATGACAATACATTCATGTATACAGTCTACAAGCTGACAACTTGCAAGTTTATTGTACCTTTATATAAGGAAGTCGGAATTATATTCAAGACTGAAGTTACTTTCAGACAGCCAGGAAAATAACCTACCCAGCATTAATATTACAGAGCGAGGTATTTCGCGCCGGAGGTTTCGTGCGTTTACCATTAACCCTCGAAACACGTGGTCACTCGGGTAACTTCGGGAAGCTACGGTGAAGACCGACGATTGTTCTAATATCAACGACGGCACGATATTATACAAGGTTCTTTTCCTGCTACACCCGGTGACATCACAGCGCGGGTATTCTACAGAATCAAAATGCCTTGTTCTGATTGGACCGCGATGGACAACGACCTACGCAGAGGTCAATCTTAGTTCACAGTTCAAGACTTAGGTTGCAAGTGACAACAATATATCAGTGAACGAGCAAGCCTCCTTACAGTCCAGCTAATCTGAACCTTCATGATTGGGCTGCCTTCTTGAGGTTAGAGACCTCCCCTGTCAAGATAAGGACGAGGGCACGGCAGTCAGGCGATTTTTTACATAAAGTTCAACGATGACAGTCACACCTGGTTGTGCACCTACATCGTCAAGGACTTCGCAGCGAATTTACGTAGACGACGGGATACAAGTGGATCCAAATCCACAGCGTCTCAGACTACAGCTGAATTTCATCATCAAGCTACTAACACAACTAGATGGTTAGTAAACCTACTTAAGCTTTCTGATTGGAGGATTAAAACGGAAGTTTCACGCTCCAACTTGGGGATCTGAATATAGTGCTCCAACACCTCACAAGTGAGGTTTATGAACACGCTTTGATGATATACTTGGACTCCATGATACGATGAATCTATCACGATGGCCAGTAAGAGCACTGTAAATATATCTCCACCGAGCCAAACAGGAGGGAAAAATGCAACAGATTATTTCCTCTATCATCAAGCTACGCAGACTGAAGTCTCACGTACTACTGTCTCCTTTTGGATCAGAACTGTCATACTACGTGCCTACAAGACCACAGGACTCGACCCTCCATGAGCTTCTAATACTCATGATATTAGAGCGCTAACTTCTACAATTGATCTACACAAGTGCTATTGAAATAATGGAGGGTTATTTCTGGAGATCCGATATGGTGGTTGCCAACCATTATCTGAGAGATATCACCACCGAGGACGTCTCAGGTATCCACCAATTCGGTCCCATGGTCCTCGCACAACAGTTGACAGTTCCTCGGGAGAAGATAAGTCAATCTTACAGATTTCTACTTATCTTATAACAGTACTAAATAGCTACATGCTATATATATTTTGCTTAAGTTCTTTTATCATCTTAAGCTCAGTACTATGGTTATTATATCATACAATATATAAGTTAACAACTCTACAGAGTTTGTTATTATATATTTACCTTAAGTTAATCATATCTTAAGCTCAGTACTATGGTTACATTATAAATGTATTAGCTAACAAACTCTACGGAGTTTTTGCTATTATATATGTAGCTTAAGCTTATTCATATCTTAAGCTCAGTACTATGTTTATATCATATAAGTATATTAGCTAACAAACTCTAAAGAGTTTTTGCTATTATATATTTGGCTTAAGTTTCATCATATCTTAAGCATTATGGTTACATTATAACATGTATTAGCTAACAAACTCTACGGAGTTTTTGCTATTATATATGTAGCTTAAGCTTATTCATATCTTAAGCTCAGTACTATGTTTATATCATATAGGTATATTAGCTAACAAACTCTAAAGAGTTTTTGCTATTATATATTTGGCTTAAGTTTCATCATATCTTAAGCTTTATGGTTACATTATAACATGTATTAGCTAACAAACTCTACGGAGTTTTTGCTATTATATATGTAGCTTAAGTTTTCTTTCATATCTTAAGCTCAATACTATGTTTATATCATATAAGTATATTAGCTAACAAACTCTAAAGGGTTTTTTGCTATTATATATTTAGCTTAAGTTTCATCATATCTTAAGCATTATGGTTACATTATAAAATGTATTAGCTAACAAACTCTACAGAGTTTTGCTATTATATATATAGCTTAAGTTTAATCATATCTTAAGCTCAGTACTATGTTTATATCATAAAAGTATATTAGTTAATAAACTCTAAGGAGTTTTTTGCTATTATATATTTAGCTTAAGTTTAATCATATCTTAAGCTCAGTACTATGGTTACATTATAAATGTATTAGCTAACAAACTCTACAGAGTTTTGACTATTATATATATGTAGCTTAAGTTAATTATATCTTAAGCACAGTACTATACTCATATCGTAAAATATATTAGCTAACAAACTCTACGGAGTTTTTGCTATTATATATATAGCTTAAGCTTTATTCATATCTTAAGCTCAGTACTATGTTTATATCATATAAGTATATTAGCTAACAAACTCTAAAGAGTTTTTGCTATTATATATTTGGCTTAAGTTTCATCATATCTTAAGCATTATGGTTACATTATAACATGTATTAGCTAACAAACTCTACTGGAGTTTTTTGCTATTATATATGTAGCTTAAGTTTTCTTTCATATCTTAAGCTCAATACTATGTTTATATCATATAAGTATATTAGCTAACAAACTCTAAAGGGTTTTTTGCTATTATATATTTAGCTTAAGTTTCATCATATCTTAAGCATTATGGTTACATTATAAAGTATATTAGCTAATAAACTCTAAGGAGTTTTGCTATTATATATTTAGCTTAAGTTTAATCATATCTTAAGCTCAGTACTATGTTTATATCATAAAGTATTTTAGCTAACAAACTCTAAGGAGTTTATACTATCATATTAACAAGCTTAAGTCTATTAGTCTTAAGCATTGTATTAATGTTATATATACTTTATCATAATAAGTAAATTGTAATAACCTTTATATGGCAGCTGATAAGTTAGCAGCAGGAATTCATCAGTTCAGTGCCTTTATGAAGTTCCCATAGGGTTATTACAATCATCACAGTTCAAATCACTAATTATTAAAATCCAAAGTATTATATATTCCCACCTCCTTTTCCGTAGGATTCTACAAGCAAAAGAGCATGAGTCAGGATAAGGAAAAATATGTAATTTTTAGAGTAAAATTGATATTTTATACTTATCCTGACTCATGAGGTAAGCCCTCCCATCCTCCCCACATAACACTTTGGATTTCCCTGAAAATTCAAATGTTGGGCTCAGTATATGAGGAGAGAGTGAGGCACATGGGTGGAGGTGGCGCCCTCGTTCCCGCGCTTGTGGAGGGCAGGTAACTCGTGAGTACTAATTAGTGATTTCTTTATTGAAGGGAACTTCAATTAGGGAGATACAAGTGTTCCACTATGTTCGCAAGAAGAAGAAGACAAGCAAAAGAGCATGAGTCAGGATAAGTATAAAATATCAATTTTACTCTAAAAATTACATTTATGCAACCACCCATACGCTGACCACGGGGCAATAAAATGCATTCCTACCTGAGGGGTAGGGACCTAATCCAGTGAGGTGTAGAGTGTAATGCATGTGTACCATCACTTCAACAGGAAGTACACATGCTGGTACACGTCTACAGTGATACAATAACATTCATAGCACAACGTCTTTCCATATCCATGAGGAACCCTAAATATTAATTGTGTATATTGATTTTCCCGATCATGGCGATATGACCCTGATATTTCATTACAAAGACAACCATACATGCTGTTGAAAAACATATGTTTAAAACTTGTCTCCCCGCGAAAGGTTCAGTTGCTTGATCTAAAGGTGCTCCTGGTGTTTAATGATAGGTAGTCTCTCGTACAGACCCTGAAGCAAATATATCCAAGAAAGCCCACAGAAGTCTAGAAATTGTGGCAAGTCTAGATTTCCTCAGCTTCTGAAAATGAAGAAAGTCTCAGGGCTCCTTTTCATTATATATATATTTTTTTTACTATGAACTTTTTTCAGTAAAATATGTTCATTTCAGAGACTAGTTGTTAGTCTAAATGATAGGGTATGTCACTTCTTATGATATCTGCCATCTAAATGATATTTATATGCAAAGGCATTAATTCTGAATATGCAATATTATCATGTCTTTCAGTAGCATTTAGAAGTTGTACATTGATGTCCAAGTTATTTTTATATCGACGACGTTTCAAGACCATTCCAGGTCCCTTAGGTGATGAAGCGACCTGGAATGGTCTAGAAACGTCGTGAGAGAAATTAAAAAAGAAGTTTAATCCATAAAAATCTCTTGAATATTATCATGTAATTAAACTGATCAAAGATAGATCTTATTATGTTCACATGAAGACATATTTGAATTATTTCAGTGCTGTGCTTTTTTAAACTATGGGTTTGCTGATGACAATATTAGGGCTAAATGGAACAGTAGTGGAATATATTCATCGCTTTGAACCAATTTTACACAAAGGAGTTCATCCCCTGTACACCCTTTCAAAAGGCATCCATTTAGTTTTTGACAGGATGATGAATAAATCATAGCCAGTAAAAGTGTAGATATTAAACAGCTGAATACAATTCATTGTGAGCCTATAGAAAGAATATAATTATACATCTCGTCATTGAGAGTTTGAATGGTCCCTACCCTAGTTGTTATAAGAGTGTGGCAATGCTTCTTATGTTTTCAGTAAACATCATAACCTTAACAGCTAAATGATGGAAGTTGAAAGCAATCTGCAGACACACATGAGGATTCACAGTGGGAATCAAGCCTTATAAATGTGTTGAATGTGGGGAAACATTTACACATTCAAGTAGTCTGCAGACACACATGAGGATTCACAGTGGAATTAAACCTCATCAGTGCATTGTGTGTGAGAAAACATTTGCATACGTAAGTGCCGTTCAGACACACATGAGAATTCACACTGGAATCAAGCCTTATGAATGTGTTGAATGTGGGAACAAATTTACACGTTCAAGTAGTCTGCAGGAACACATGAGGATTCACAGTGGAATCAAGCCTTATGAATGTGTTGAATGTGGGAAGCAATTTACACAATCAGGTCAACTGCAGCAACACATGAGGATTCACAGTGGAATCAAGCATTATGAATGTGTTGAATGTGGGAAGCAATTTACACTATCAGGTCAACTGCAGAGACACATTAGGATTCACAGTGGAATCAAGCCTTATGAATGTCTTGAATGTGGGAAGAAATTTACACGATCAAGTTGTCTGCAGATACACATGAGGATTCACAGAGGAATCAAGCCTTATGAGTGTGTTGAATGTGGGAAAACATTTACCAAATCAGGTAATCTACAGCAACACTTGACGATTCACAGTGGAATCAAACCTCATCAGTGCATTGTGTGTGAGAAAACATTTGCATACGTAAGTGCCGTTCAGACACACATGAGAATTCACACTGGAATCAAGCCTTATGAATGTGTTGAATGTGGGAACAAATTTACACGTTCAAGTAGTCTGCAGGAACACATGAGGATTCACAGTGGAATCAAGCCTTATGAATGTGTTGAATGTGGGAAGCAATTTACACAATCAGGTCAACTGCAGCAACACATGAGGATTCACAGTGGAATCAAGCCTTATGAATGTGTTGAATGTGGGAAGCAATTTACACTATCAGGTCAACTGCAGAGACACATTAGGATTCACAGTGGAATCAAGCCTTATGAATGTCTTGAATGTGGGAAGAAATTTACACGATCAAGTTGTCTGCAGATACACATGAGGATTCACAGTGGAATCAAGCCTTATGAGTGTGTTGAATGTGGGAAGCAATTTACACTATCAGGTCAACTGCAGCAACACATGAGGATTCACAGTGGAATCAAGCCTTATGAATGTGTTGAATGTGGGAAAGAATTTACACATTCAAGTAACCTTCAGACACACATGAGGATTCACAGTGGAATCAAACCTCATCAGTGCATTGTCTGTGAGAAAACATTTACACAATCAGGTACTCTGCAGGGACACATGATGATTCACACAGGAATGAAGCCTGATGAATGTGTTGTATGTAGGAAAAAATTTACAAAATCAAGTACTCTGCAGAGACACATGAAGATTCACAGTGGAATCAAGCCTTAAGAATGTTTTGAATGTGGGAAAACATTTTTACATTCAAGTATTCTGCAGACACACATGAGGATTCACATTGGAATCAAGCAGCGAAGACTTATCGCTGTGTTTGGTTTGGGATAATACATCTGCAGGCAAGATATGAAGTGGAACTGTGTGTGGTGAATGTGTTGAATGTGGGAAAACATTTGCACTGTCAGATACTCTTAGACAGTAAACAATACGCTGATTGTTGTTTTAGTATTATGTATACATATTAAGGTGTATGACTGATAATAGTTCTGTGTTAATCTGGGGTAGCTTGTGGCAATTCAATGCATACAGTCCAAACTTACACAACTTGGAGAAGGTGAAACACAACAAATATATGTTAAGACACACATCTAAAATGAGTATTTCACTGCTTCAAAAAGACTGCAATTGTACCCCTCCGTTTGTTGAGTGAGTGAGTTCAGTGTTTTGCAATATTCCTGTAATATCAGGGCAGGGGACACCAGAAATGTGCTTGTCACATCGTATCTATGTGGGGAATTGAACCCGGGTCTTCTGCATGACACGCATGTATGAGCAAGAATATACTATGCATACCAGGTTAAGAATAATAATAGTCCTCATGAAAATGCACTTATTCCTGACTGAGTCAATTAAAGTTAAACAGCTTTTCATGACATCACTTTGAGGCTGCCAACTGGAGTATGTCACAGCGGGGGGCTGCCAACTTAGGTCAACCCAAGTCAGAATGAGCTGACTTTTGTAAACGGTTGATTAGGATTATACCCTAGTCAGCATGGTTTCAAACAGGTCAGTCAGGGGTTCCAAACAACAAACAAACATCGCATCATCCGAATAAAGAAGTTGTTCATCTGTAAACTTTGTCCTTCTCTGATTCACCAACTTCTAAACATGGCACTCAAAGAAGTTAAAGTTATAGATAAAATCATCACTCATACACATTCTTGCATATGAGCATTCATACCTTTGCTATTTACACTGTCATACATACTTTACTGATAATGCTTACTTATGATGTTTATTTATATTATTTATGCATTAATAAAAGTATATAGCAATAATTTACTATAGTTACTAACGTTAGAAGTCAGTTATTGATTCTCTTGATTTGCTGAGCACATCAGGTGAGGGTGACAAGTGCTGTGTAAGTGAAAATGACTGATGACCTTAAGGTTTGAAATTGGCCAATCCCAATCATCCAGGCGATCATATCAAATTGCATAACTGACAGAAAGACAGAATGACCTAATTCCCCTATGACCTTGTAATGGAATGATCCAAAACAACCAGGGACCTGCATAAGTCTTTAAAATACTACTTTCCGACAACTGATCATTTTGTACACAATGAACTTCTGGTGAATGCTTATATTTCACACTATTACACGATCGGTGAACGAGTGTTGGACCTAAAGTACTGTCGGAAATAGGAAAAACCCTGTTTTGCGCATTTATATCTACAGTTTAAGTAGTTAGCATGTGAAATATCTGTTAAATTAAGTTCGGCCTAACTACAGTCTCAATGGTAGGGAGATAGGAAATGTAGAAAAAGGACTTTACTGAGGAGAGATTAGTGCAGAAATGAGAAATGCGGGTTATTTTTTTAAGTCCAAAGCGACTTATTTGGAACAGACCATGGCTTTATGCAAAGTAGTGTGCGGTGATATTGTATTACAAACGACACTTTTTAAATTCCAATTTTGAAATTAAACTTAGATTCATTATACATGATAGCTGACGTACAAAATAATGACTTTAATACCGAAACTATTAAGGATGTAGCTACCATGGAGTGTCACTATCACTATAAAAAGAGACAGGTAGGAGGGGTCGTCTCAAAAGCAAAACCAGGACGGGTGTCGCAGACGGTGGTTGGGGTCGGGGTCGGGGATAAAGATATGATAATCCTTTAGGGTAATTAAACTGTGGAAGAAAACGGCATGCCATAATAATTTGCAAACAATATCTAGTCCTGTCGATCTTCGGGTGGTCATTTCACCTATATATTTGGCTGATTTAAGCTTTGTTATGGGTATCATCCTCTTTTACATATCTCAACATAAACTTTATGAAAGAAACACACGTAAAATGTTAATCAGTAGACATGTTCAACACACATGAAAAGGCATTAAATAATATTGAGATGACCCCTTGTTCCTGTATGCAGCACATGCATTTCATGCCAGGTGAGTCGACGGCCCGTCGTCATACCTGGCTGAGCGACCTAATTGCCATCTATAGTCTGATCTATTGTTTTCAGCAGGTGTTCTTAATTTTTCTAAGTTTTGCCCGATTTTACGAGTAAACATGATTTTCTATTACACTTCCCAAGGAACGCCCAGTTAGGCCGAAGTGGGTTATTTCGATATGTGCTATTTGCAATAGTGTAAATTTTAGGGATGCAGAGTAACAGCCATTTTGTCTATTTCCGACAGTACTTTAGGACGTATTACTTTCAGCAATACAAGTCCCCGTGGATGTTTTGTCAGCCGTATGTTTACTGTAGAAAAGAACGAAGAAAAGAACTATAGACACACACACACACAGGCGGTTATACACTACGAGAATAACGCCGATTGTTACCTTCAGTGAAGAAAAACATCATTTTACTGTTTCGACGGATGGAAGTAATTACATAGACGAAATGTAAACAGAGATAAGCACTTGGGTAGGAATGCATAACACTGGCCCCTTCTGACATATTCTATTATTCGCAGCTTCTGTCAATTTGTTATTTTAAGATTATTCTGAGGGGTGAAACATACATGACGCCAGACACCTACATACCATACTGGATTAGGTCCCAAGCCCTAAACCCCTAAAATAATCCTAATATATTATTGCTGGGGTGGTAGGGGAGTCATCAATTTTGTACACATGTTCTGGAGAGAGGTCATCAATTTTGTACTCATGTACTGGGGAGGGTCATCAATTTTGTACACATGTACTGGGGAGGGTCATCAATTTTGTACACATACTGGGTAGGGTCATCAATTTTGTACACATACTGGGGAGAGGTCATCAATTTTGTACACATACTGGGGAGGGTCATCAATTTTGTACACATGTACTGGGGAGGGTCATCAATTTTGTACACATGTACTGGGGAGGGTCATCAATTTTGTACACATACTGGGGAGAGGTCATCAATTTTGTACATATGTGCAAGGGGGAGAGGTCAGCAATTTTGTACACATAATAGTAGGGAGAGGTCAGCAATTTTGTACATGACATGCAGGGAGGTCGCTTACTTGGTACATAAATTTAGGGGGCGTTATTCACATTGTACACGCTTCCCCATAAAAATCGTCATAACCAATTGTGTATGCATTGTTTTTTCCCGATCATAACCCGAAAAAGATGTCTAAACTTGTTTCCCCACGAAAGGTTCTGTTGCTGCATCTAAAGGTGCTCCAAGTGTTTTTATGACAGGATGTGTCACTCTTTATGATATCTGTCATTTATGATATTATTTTGCAATATCATTGTGTAATTATATTGATCAAAGATAGATGTATCTAAGTTCACATGAAGATATATTTGAATTATTTCAATGCATCGTTTTAAACTATAGGTATGCCGAATATATTCATTGCTTTTAACCAATTTTACACAATTGTGTACATCATCTATAATTTGTGTTTTGTTTTGTTTTGACAGAATAATGAACTAATCATAGCCCGTAAATATGTAACGTCAGAAAAAGTTTGGATATTTAACAGCTGAATGCAATTCATTGTGAGACTATAGGGAGGATGATTGTACATCCCGTCATTGGCATTTTCCATACTGACTATTGAAAATCACCCAAGTCTGTTGTGTGTGGGAAGACATGTTTAAAGTATCGGGTTTGTTATCATGCTACGTGTCATACAATCATATTGTGTATGGTCCCTACCCGAGATGATTTAAGAGTGTGACAATGATTCTTATGTTTTCATCAAACATGCTCATGATGGAAGTTGAAATCCACATAATCCGTTCCTTGTCACTGAAACAAATGGAATCGGATGAAGCGGTTTGCTGAAAACAGGATATCTCAAGAAACATTTTTTATTGACACCTGGGAAATAGGTGATCTCAAGAGAGAACTTGTACTTGGAACCTTGGAAACAGGGGATCTTATGAAAGAACTCGTTACTGGAGCCCTGGAAATAGGTGATCTCATGAAAGAACCCATTAATAGAACCCTGGAAACAGATGGTTTGGAGTGATCCAACAAAGCAGTCTCATATACATGTTGTGATAGTTTGGAAACCAGTTTTAAATCGCATGGAGGGTGGTGGGATAGACATGTAGTGGGATAAACATGCGTTCATCTGTTCCGGTTTGTTAATAAACTACGACATGCCTTTTCAGTGAGTGAGTATGTAAGTTTAGTCAAGTACTCAGCTTTTAGCAATATTTCAACAATGTCACGACTGGGGACACCAGAAATGGGCTTCACACATTGTATCCATGTGGGGAATCGAACACGGGTCTTCGGCGTGACGAACAAACACTTTAACCACAAGCCTACCCCCACCGTCCCGGTCTTAACCGTCTCAGCTGTTATATCAGGGAGTATATAATGTGGACGAGCACACTGCGACCAGAGATCAAGGTGTTCCCAATAATCGATGAAGTTGTCTCCCGTACCTAATGACAGGATCCCTTTGTGAAACGTTTTACATGACATTATTTGGGCTTGACTGAAAATGATGAAGCTTGTTGCACTCTTCATATTCAACTAACTGAAAATCCTTCCTCACACAACGTCACTTCCGGTTAGCTGCAGTGCTCAGGCGATATTTAAGAATAAGAAGAATAGTTTATTAACGTGTCCCGTGGTATACAAATGACATGTTAAAATCTCGTAAAATTCACAATAAAAAATGTAGACCACCCGGCCCTACGGCCATTGAGACACGATAACTACTTAAAATCCAGATAAATATATGGGACTTATTAACATAAGACCAAAACATTAAAATATTAATACACATACTGACAATTATTGTCCGGGACTAAAGAGCGTGTTTTCTGAAAACGGAGGATTAATACGGGAGATATCCTGACATATTGTTTCTGAATAAAAGTCGTACTCGGCGAGAAAGTGTACCTCATCTTCAACAGAATTGCTGCAACAGAATTTACAAATCCTCTCTTCTAAAGACGTTTTCGGGCGGGTATACCTGCCTAGTTGTATCTCAAACGGCAAAGGGCAACAACGAAGCTTACTCATCACATTACGTTGGGATCTTGTTAACAGTGAGGTGACATACTGTTCTGGCTTTAAGAATTTCTAAATAATCGATAATTACGTAGTTTATTTCCGTTTAGTTGAAATATTGTTATACCAGGATTGACTATCAAGAGAATAACACTGCCGCTGTTACAGGTCATTGGCTCCCTCCCTCTTCAAGCCGTCTGCGTTCTGCTGTATATTTTGTTGACAGTTACATAGACAGATTCTTTAATACAAATGCATAAAATCGGTGATTTACAGTGTGATTAGGTTGTCTGGCAAAACATCCACTTGCACAGTTTGAGATCGATTGGGTCATTGGATGAAGAGATCTTTACAAGAAAACGGGTCCACATGCATTTCATGCCAAACTATAAGCCAGATTTTAATATGGCGAAAATCAGCTTTGGAGATATCATTTAGATGGAATGGTAAATTCAGATTATCAACAGTCTAGCATACGTTGTAATGACAGCTCGTCGGGGGCAATCAGGGCAATATCATCAGCGTATAGTAGCGGAGTGAGTTAGTGAGTTGAGTTTTTCGCCGCACTCGGCAATATTCCAGCTATATGGCGGCGGTCTGGAAATAATCGAGTCTGGACCAGACAATACAGTGATCAACAGCATGAG